AATACTCCTACCGAGTTAAGGTGTTCGATTTTTAATAATGTGTAATAAATCCACTTCGAATACTTTTAACCACTCATAAATTAATATCAGGGATTAAGCAGATTATGCACACATATCGGGAAGTTCATGTAACTTGCCTTAAGGCAAAATACCAATACCAACTTTTTTATAACCTCAGCAATGTGATGTATTTAATCATATGGTACATATATGTATGTTAAATATAACTTATCGTTTTTCTTTGTTTTTTTTATCGTTTGAATTTTGAATTGTTTCTTTTATCGTTTGAATTCAATTTGAATTAATTTATTACAGTATTTTAATTAATTTATGTGATTATGTGCTCATAAAAATGCTTACTATAAATGTGTTTTGCATGCACCCTGCATCCGAAACAAACTGCATCTAAAGCATCAACTGCAATAACAGGATGCGATTTGGCACAGTGCGTGTGGCATATATGTTTTATGTATCATAAGTCATAAAACCATAAAAGACAAGAGCATAAAAATCTATACGCTATTGTTTTCCGGTTATATTAAACGTTCTAAGAAAATGCCACAAGTGGCATGCCAGGGTAAACACTGCATAACAGGAATCAGATTAATATTGTGAAATCTGGAATATTACAAATGAGTAGAAATTCGATCAATAATAATAATATTATATTTTACGGTTTTGCTTAATGATACAACACTAGTAAAATATACTTTATGTATATTTATTTATGTATTATTATGTATTCATTTTTTATACCAATTTTAATTTTTTATTATTTCAAGGACTTGACGACTATAAACTGCAGGGTCTATCTAACTTTTTTTTTAATTTTGTTCTAAGAATATATAGTTTTTTTTGGTTTTTGCTTAGTTTTTTTTCTCAAAGTTACTTTTCATTAATAGCCGGAAGGATTGTACTTCCAAATAAAAAAAGAAATTTGAGCAAATGTTCAGTAGTTTTTATAGCATTTTTAAAAAACCAAAGTTATTTGGCGGACTCTATAGCATTTTGTTATGAAGCTTTTTAAAAATGTCGACTAGTAGGTACAGATAGGGTCTCGTTGTAAGATGAATTATTTCAATATTAATACATGATAAATATAATAATTCTAGACTATACATTTGCTGCTTATTGATTTCAATAGTTATTGATACTATTACATGCATATATTTATTTATGATACACTTATAATGTAATTTTATGATTACAATATACTTATATGTAATTTAATATTAAATGATTCACGGTTTTACCCGAATTATGCCTATTGGAGTGGGATTTTTTTTCTAGTAGTTATAGTAGAAGGAAAATTGCATATATTGATTATATTTTAAGTAATTAATGTTATCTGTAATTTTATATAAATTATTGCATTAGGTAATTAATGTTATATATAAATACTTATAATTATGTATAATAAATTTACTATTTTTATATTTTTTTGCGAATTATGATTGTCCGTCAATTTTATTATACTTCTTATATTTTAATTTTGATATGCGTATTGAATTTTATTGAATATTATTCAATTGATTTTTAAAATTTAATTTAAGAAATAAATTGAACAAAAACAATTTTTTTCAGATTATATTTTTGTTACTTATATTTATTTATTTATAAGCAAGTAGTAATCAAAAGTAACATAATTTAATTATATTTTTCCATATAACATTAAAAATAAGGATGCTATGATTTTGAATACCATTAAGAAGTTTATTAACTCTCCTTAGGGTAATTTATCGTAATCGCAAAAAAATCGAAAATGAAATATTTCTATACGCTTTGAAGCCTTCTGAACGTTAGAATACCTTAAAAAATGGATGTATGTGTGTGTTTGTAGTATGTGCAAATGTTTGAATACAAGTTCTGTCCACGATTTTGGAAGCGCGGATCAACCGATTTGAATGATTCAAAAAACATGCGATTTGTATGGGGAGATGTGTTAATTTTGGCAAAGGCAGGTCCAGCCGTTCCAGAGATTCAGAGCAAAAAGCACAAAACAACCAATTTTTGAGAAAACAGCACATGCAAATAAAATGATTAAAAAAAATTTAATCGTATTGATTGATTGTATTTTTGCGAAGGCAGGTTTAGCAGTTTCAGAGATGCGGAGCAAAAAATGCAAATAATTGTTGTTTTGAGAGAACTGCGCACCCGATTAGAGTGATTCAAAAAACATATTGCTTGTGTCGACGGTCTTTGTTTATGTTTTTGTTATTGTAAATAAACATAGATTATGGTCTTTGTCCAAATATAAGCACTTAATTATATTATATTTATAAAATACGACGATGAAATTTACATTGTTTATAATAATTATTTTAAAATATTTAAAACTGTTGTTTTTACTCATTGATATTTTTTTCGACGATTAATCACTTTTATTTCGCGAATGTTTATTACTGTACGGAAAGTTCGAGCAATTTACCTTAAGGCACAATGCCATGCACGACTAGTCTTTATTTAGTATATGATTTGTACTTTAATCAGTACTATTTTATACTACTTCACCTACCTATCTACGATTACCTTTATAATGCATTTATTGATTATAATTTTTTTACGATTATTACGATTTTATTCACTTAATATATGTTTATAAACCGAGAAGTTTCAATAATTTGCTTTAAAGCTTATTGCCTTGCATTACCAAATATAATAAGTAGTTTATGTGCTTTTGATATTTGAAATAATGTTCCGTGATTGTGATTGCTGTACGTAACCTATTTAAAAATGAAGGTAATGTTCAGGATTAAATGCAAAAGAAAATGCATTTTATACTTGATTCATTTATTCATTTAAAAACGATTCAACTAATGGTTAGTTTGCGTAGACAAAACATTACCTTGCAGGTTCATTATATAAGGATCATAAATCAATTGAGCTGATTCTGTGTACATGCACCATTCCGTCGTTACGCGTTGCCTACCGTAAAACAAATAATAATAAATCCTATGAAACAATCGTAAATTTTGAATTTAAAATTATACTGTAACAATATATCGTTCCACACGTATATATATATATATATATATATATATATATATATATATATATATATTTACGCCTGATAGAACAAATTCAGTCATGTCAGTGGGAGAATACATAAACCAGCTTTGTTAATTCAAAGGTAGGTTCTCAAAGACATAAAACAATTTATAGCCTGATCGAGTAAAAGCCAAGTCGACTATTCAATTTTATATTTCACGTTAAGTTTATGATCTAATCTATGTGTTTTGTTTTATAATGATTAGATGTTTTGATTTTTTAAAACGTTCGTAAAAAATATGCATTTTATTGCGAAGAAAAATAACATTTTATGGTATTTTAATCAATATTTTGGTAAGGGCTCTCCCGTAGGTAAGCGGTTAAGAGCGACGGGACTTGTTTCAGAGGTTCCGGGTTCGATACCCACTTCGAGCAGCCTGTTGTCAGGCAGCAGTGACAACGATTTTCACTTGGAATATAGGTAGCAATATGTTTCCAAGTGAAAATAGCCCTTGCCCGGCATTGCTGCACCAATAAAAAGTCAGCCCTATTAGCTTAATTCTAATAACAAAAATCATCAAATATGGATGGATTAACCATTGGGTTACCATCTAAAAAATACGAAGTAAGGAGAAGTTTCGCCCAACAGCTCATAGGGCGTAAGGTTCTGATTGCTGTTAAAAATATAATAAAAAAAATATATATTTTGGTAATATTAGAAAAAATATTAATAAATTATTGTTATTGAGATTTTGAAGAGTTTGAATTATTAGAATTGCTATTGACATAATATATTAATTTTTATTCTAACTAAAATATTCTATTTTTCTTCTACAATTAATGTAACATATTATAAGAATGAAACTTTTTCTTCCTAATTTATTATTAAATTGCTGTAATGATTGATTATTTAAAGTAGCGACGTGAAAAAGATTCCAATTACTGAAGATCTTCGACTTATGAGTGCTGTCTTTTTAATGTATAATAAAATATATCAGATATATTCCTTTGTACAACATTGGAAAGATGTTGGTGCATAAATATTTATTTTGAAATATTTATGATTATTTTCTTATAACAACATCAACTTTAAAGTTGTATATACTAATTTATAAAGCATAGGCACAAACATCTAATTTGACTTTGAGCAATTATATTGTAACAACCAAACCAATTAAATCACTACAACATATCAAACAAACAACTATCTGACTAGGCCAGTAAATCTAATCACAACTAGTTGTATGAATGTTTTTTTGGTTGTTTTTCAAAAAAATGTTACCTGTTTTTTTTTACCTCATAGACTAACAGGTCTAATGTCTTATTTTTAATTTTGAAGTAATTTTACAAAATAATAGTTACATTATTCAAACAATGCAACCTATAAATCACATTCGTACATTTTTTACATTGATAACGCTGTATATAACCCTGATCTTGTATCTTGTCAGAAATATTCATCAGCAGATTTGGAATAACTATTTATTTAATTCATTTCTTGTAAAATTGCTTTTATTTTAACTCAATTTACTGTTTTTTTATTGTTTACAGCTTTTCATCCTACTTAAATGTAAGCTTTTATAGAGCTTATTTAAAAAAACGGTTAAATTTATCTTAAAATTAACAATACATCTTATAAAACAATTTAATAAACATATACTTAAAAATTATGTTAAGGTTTTGTAAACTAAACAAAAGTGCTCACCAAAACAAATAACAATGAAAAAAAATATTTTTCTTATGGATTTTCAAATATGTAAGAATAAGGGTGATTATTGGATGTACCATACATCTTTTTCTCTCTACTTTTAAATATTGTTGTTAAAAAAAATTCCTAACTTTTTGATATATCGGTGGTGGATTTTTTTACTCGCGCACCTTTAGACACCGCTCTAACCTATAGCAATTTTGATTGATCCTAAACGATGCTTCTGTAAATCTAGGCAAAGAGTAGTAAATAATTTTAAAATAATAATTATAATCTTTTTAATAATCGTTTTCCTATATTTCAGAACACAATGCGACGCCCGTGGAGCCGCATGTCGAGACGGACGATGAAGGAATCGAAAAAGATTCGGATGAGGACTTTCAAACGCCGAACGTCACGGGTTCACAATTGGAACATGTACTCGAGGTAATGAATTTATTAATTTTGCTATTAATTCTTTTAAATAGTTTTATTACCATTACTTTATTAACTTTCCGTAGGGTAAGTTATAGTAATCGTCCAAAAATTGGAATTCTAAACATTTTAGCATACCTACCTTATAAGAAATGGATGTATGCGCGTGTGTCTGTGTGTGTGCGTGTTTCTGTTTTGTGTGGATACAATTTCTCATTCACGTTTTCGGAAGCACGGACCATCTGATATGAATAAAAAGTATTATTCTATTTCTATTGATGAGGAGACGTGCTAATTAGTTTTTGGCAAAAGTCGGTATAGCCGTATAGGAGACAAGAACAAACAGTGCTGAAAATAGATAATAAGGTTTGAGAGAATGGACCGTCCGATTTGAATGAATCAAAAACCATTCAATTTGTAATGATGGGAAGAAGTGGTGATTAGTTTTTGGCTAAGACGGCTTTCGCCGTTTCGGAGATGCGGAGCTAAAAGTGAAAGAAATGGTAGGTTTTGAGACAATGAAGCACCCGATTTGAATGATTCAGAAAATATTTTGCTTGTGAAGAAATGATTAGTTTTTGAGAAACGCATTTTTTTATTTCAATTTTGTTTTAAATTTGCAATTTTTTTTAAATATCGAAAATATGATTCGGATTTCAATTTGTATTTGAAAGCATTTAATATTCTTCGAATATTATATTACGGTACGGGAAGTTCCAGCAATTTGCTTTAAGACCCGATGACTTGCACCACTAGTTCCTTAATATTTGATGATATAAATTTATGGTAGCCTTAACTTGTTTATAAAACTAAAGTGTAGTTTAAGGAGAATTGTTTCACTTCTACTTTTTTAATTCAAACGTAAATCGTATTAAAATAACTGAATTAAATGAAACTGAACTTGAATTAAATTTATCAATACAAATCCTACTAGTAAATATAACAAATCTAACAACATCAAAATCAAACAAATACAAAAATTATCAGAAGGAAGGAAATGACTGAGTTTGAATTTATTTTTATTAAGATCCATAGAGGACACAATTTATGCTTTATTTATAATAAGATTTCGACATACGACATATTTTACTTTACTTATGTTGAATTATAATTTGGCCTTATTTATAAATTTCTGCATTTACTAAACAATTACTAACATACATATTGAGATTTTCTATTTGAATTTTTATGGTACTTTACTATTTTCGTTTTATCTCCTCTCGCAATTAAATTTTATTCACAAATAGAGTTTTTTTTTCAAACATATGTGGAACAGTGCATTTTTTAGATAAATGATTTTTGATTATTCATGATATTATATTTTGACATGATAATTAGATTTTTTATTTTGGGTTATACCCGCTATAATTTCAAATATCAAATATATTGCTTTTAATCTCAAAATACGATTTTTCGAGAAAAAAAGTAGTATTTTAATATATACAGCCCGAAATTTGTACTACAATTCCATAAAATAATGGGAATATATAAAAAACATATTTAATTATGATCAAGCCATGTAGAAATGTAATGACCAAATATTAAAACAGCACATTCAGGAAATGTTTTCTACCATATTCCATTCAACCCTATGATTTTCATATTCACCAGGACAGAGATTTCAATTTAGTAAATAATTTTTATAAGGGGCTTGATGAATCTCATTCCATACTGTACGACGAAGATCAGATAATAAATTCTCTACAGTATTGTTGGATGTTGTAACTTAGTTTTACTGCCTAAATGTAATTCATATCGCAATAAAGTTACTTTTATTATGACATAAGTAAATATTTATATAGATAACTAGAGCTTATATATAAAGTTTCCGGAAATAAATGTAAGTTATAACATACAGTGTGATGCACTTTGTGTTTATTGCCCGGAATAATTTTATTATGAGGTGCAACGCTATAATTATTTACTTTGTTCGTTGTTTCTCAAACCACTCAATTCCTTGAGTTTTGCAATTAATTGGAATATCAATGAATATTTTTGTGTAAAATCCTTGATGATCAGGCAACTGATCACGTGATCGACTGTTTAAGGATTCTGGAACCTCTCCTTCTCCTTGGTGATACGTGGTAATAACCAAAATTTCCTCACTTTTCCCTGCCAAACATCACGTGTATTTTTAGTTACACGAAAAAATTGTGAATTTTTTTATTTTTTTTCTACAAATGTTTGGATTTTTTATTCAAATGCAGGTAAAAAATAAATACACGTGATATCTTACTATACCCCCTCCCTACCCCCACATGGTATTATGTGATTTTTTGTGAACCCCCTCCCCCCTCCTCTTAAAAACCTCACGTGATTAATGAACCCCACAGCAATAACATTTTAATACTGAGTGCAGGTTAGAATTTTATTCTGAAATGTGGACCGAATCGGGGGACAACATCAATTATTAATATGATGTTGATATTATTAATTAATTAATAAACCATATTGACGTATGATACAAATTATACAAGTACATAATATTTAACCCATGTCAAGAAATGCTTTACAATAAAATTATGAATATAATTTTTCTGCTCAAGAGACTACCAAGAACAACTTTCGATTGAAACAATGATCTGCAAAAGAATTTGTTCGACAATATAATCTTATACCAATTAAATGAATGAAGAAAGCTAATTAATAAAAAAATGTATTAATTTTTGAATTAATAAAAAAAAATTCGTTATTAAAAGCAATGAAATAATTTTTGCTATTAACAACAAATATTTGTATAATTATTGTCTACAACAGTAATTTTAATACAAATAGTATATTAAATACATGGGATTATGGATGGGATTCACAATTGGGCGACTCTAATCGAGTAATATTTAATTATATAACTATTGCTTAACTATTTTTGCAATTCAATAGTATTTTTATTTACATGCCAATTAAATTAAATTTGGCATCTTATGTTATCATATCGTCAAAATAAAATAGTTTAAGTCAAAGTGATAAATCTTGAAGCAAAAGTCCGACACAGAACATGTCGAAACCTAGTTAATATCTTATTTTATTTATACACATATTTATTGTTTATCATATAAATATTAGAAAATGAATGATTAGTCGAATGTGTTTTTACATAATTTAAAGATTATTTATTTTAGTATTTGTAATACAATAGAGTTACGAAATGACAACCGAAACGTTTCGTAGGAGGGTGTTTCTATAAAAGCGATTTGAATGGGTTACATTCTCTATTTTCCAGAGGCTCTCAATTTTACAATGATTTATTTTGAACGTATTATATACTTAACAAAATTTAAAAAAAACTATACAATGGACATTTTATAATGTTATTATTATTTTATAATATAATGTTTTATTATGTTATTCATATTTATGGTTATCATATTTGTGGTTTTTAAATAAGCCTAAATAATGGATTTGATTTTATTGACTTGATTGAAGTCAATTTTTATATATTTTTAATATATATAATTGTAATTTAATATATATTAATGCTTATTAATTACTTAAACAAAATGTTTTTTAATGCTCAAGATTTTTCTTTCGTTAGCAGAAATAATATTTTCATACTTAATTAAAATTAATCAAAACGTAGATTTAATAAAAAAAATTTAATATGAAATGTTAAATGTGTAAATGAGGTGATAAATACAGTATTGAAATTGCACTCTGTTTGAGCTTTTTTATCATTTTTAATTTTGTACACTAATTTTTTCAAATGTGTATTTTATTTATTTCAAATTATTATTATTTTACTCTAATTCATAAAATATAGAAACATGAAAATTTAAAGAACTCAATAAAACAATGGACTGTAAACGTAATGGCTTATCGTAATCTATTAATCTTTGTTTAAGATGTCGTTTGAACGACATAAGTCATCTATATTTTTTAAATTAGCGTAAAATAATATTCATCATATATAAATTTCTTGTTACATAAAAATTCCAAATCATTATAGAGATCAATATTAATATTATCCGAGTAAAAAATAGTCAATTAATTTTCGTATTTTTAGAAGTGCGAGAGAGACAGCAAACATTTATTTTTTGCTCTATTTGATAATGATTTTGCAATTTATTATAAAACTACGCAAAATCGATCATTTCTAATATAAATAGTATAAATATGCAATTGATAACGAACTATATATCATAATTCAATTGCAAATGAAAACCAATGGCTTTATCTGGAATTTAATGTCGGTATTTCCAAAGTAATAAAGTTACTTGAACATTTTGCGTCGGTGAATTTGAAATTTATGAGGTCTCAACAATGTTATTATATATCTTACTTTCATTACATATAAACGCACACGCACTGGTATTAATTATTAACATTTGTTTCAGTCTCACTTTTAGTAAAATATCACTTATTGATCATAAAATGAGTTCATTCTTCGGTTACAATCATGAGTGAGTTTGATGGAATTACTCTGAATAGTCATCAACACTTTTACTTTTTAAGCAGTCGATAAAAAAGTACAAAATACAAGATTTTGTTAGATTTACATAAAAAAATTAATTTAATTTTAACAGGAAAAGTTAGATAGTTTTCTCTGCAATGAATCGTCTTCAAACTAGTGAACCCTAACCGCTAGGAATTTATTTATTTTTACTTGCCGTATCAAAATATTTCAATTTGGGGTTATTCTAATTTTAACGAAAAAAATAAAGAGTAGATAATAAATCTAATTAAAAATTGATAATTATATAATTAACAAATAAATGCATAATTATGCATCTACGTTTTCCCTAAAAATTCTCAGCCGATTTTGAAAATTTATACTATATAGATATATAGATACTATATTAAATATATTAAATATGTTAGGTTATCAAATATCGTATGTATTGTATGTAACCAAGAGCAAAAAAGCGGAAGGAAGATATTTGACAACCTAATATGATATCTATCTGGAAATTGTTTTGATCATTTTTGGTGGAGATCGAGCAAAATTTTTTTTAAAATTACTTTGTAAATTTTTTAAAAACTTTATAATGTGATAGAGTTTATTGTTTATCCTAATT